TTTGCCTCCTTCAAAGCTCAGAAAGCCGGGAGCACCTCGGGAAGCTCCTTTTCCGAACACTATTTCTTTCTCAAGGGTAAGTCAAAGAACCACAATTTCTACTTCCAAAACAATACTACTGCTGTTCAAAACCAACACCTTTATAATTGTCGGCCGAGAAAGACGACCGATCGAGTGCCTTCTATTGGAGTAGCGTTTGAATGAACGGCTTCTCAAATGCCATTCGACTTCCTAGAACAACTACTATTGTTTTCTTGAATGCGCATTCCGAGCTCATCGACTGGGCGGAGTTACATTAGCAAATGCTCTTCTTATCGATGAGTCCCGTCTTGTCATGACAAAGGGGCTGAGCTCACCGATGGGGAATGCGCAATGGCTCAAATGACTCCGGTCACAGATCATCGCAGAATATACAATGCACATCCTAGCGATGGAGTGGGCGTGGCTGCGCACTTCACTTAAAATGGCGTAGGATGTGTTGTTTTTGGGACGTTTCTACAAGTGTTTTCCTTCCTTGTACTGAACAAAGTAGTAGTTGCAATGGTTCTGAACTGCTGTATCTCTCCAGAACGCGCAGGTGATGCCATTCAAATAAAGTGAGCAGCCACGGACTCTCCACCTCTGGGGTATGGGAAATACCTTTGAGTTAGTAGTTAGCCGAAGGTATATCCCGCTGTAATCAGATGGCCAAAAACTCATAACTACTGTACCTTACTCGTAAGCGCGCCTCTCCTCTCTACTCTGCTAGAGGACGCCCCATGCTGGGCACATTATTAAGATGGATGAGATTGCGAACGATTCTTACCGGAAATTCCCCCTTCAGCGCGGTTCGACTCCTTCCCGCAACAACCTACCCCCACTCTACCAATGTTTCCCGGAATTTTCTCGTTGTTGTGGAAGCGGGGATGGCATACAGCGCGCGTGAAACGAGAAATGAGCAATCGGAAAAGTTCTGTCGGAGGCAAGTGCGACGCTCTATTCCGGCCCGTAATATGGTTTTGCACAACGACCACGGACGGCGCGAGTGTAAAGTGCAAGTTTCCGCCCATGTGATTATCGCGGAGAGTGTCTTTGAAACTATCATGCCTCTAGATTCAATTTTTTTGTGGAGCTCACAGAATCACCATTTTACTATCTATTCAAGATTAACTTCGTGCTTCCTGCAATCACGTCGCCTTGTGGTGAAGGCTGGAACACGCCTGAGGCAAACGCCATGTATACAGCTACCAGTTACAGTGATGGCAGTGTCTTTGTTGTAAGGATTTCTTCTAGCTGTTCTTCTACCAGTAAGCGTGGGAAGAAGAGCCTGCTGTTCTAGTTCAAAGTATATTCAGATGTCTCCTGTTGATTTTGCTGTGAACTTCCTTCAAAAGTATGTTCCATCTCTGTACAGATCAGCTGGGCTCGAATACGGTAGTACTATGAATTGCACATATCAGGAATATCTGTTCCAGGTTACTTTTCATTACTCGTCGTGACACACAAGGTACACCAACGGCTATGTTACTTTAGGTTGGAGCACTTCTCTGCTATGAATTCACAATTGAGTACTATCATCCCTATCATTAATCCGGCAGTAGCTACGATCACATGACGGGATCCGGCAGCCGTATGTGGAAGGCCACGGCATCACTTTACTGGAAGGATAAGGCCCAAAAATCATACAACTGTCTAACCACACTGGTTATGGGGCTGCTTCTCTTTTAGCTGTTCTAACAGGTCATCTCCTTTGAACAGCTAACGTGGGCGCTCATGAACGGGGTCGCTGCAGGTGCGCTAAAAATAGCACGGACTTTTACGCAACGCCAACCCCTTTCCCTACAGCCATGAACCGACCAAAGCCGCCACGACCAATGAGAAGCGGTCTTCGATCCACTCCCGGTGACACGCCCGCACTGACCTCAGTGTTAATACAGCGCCAACCTTAAGTAACGGGCCTAAGAACTCGTCAACAAGTGTGGTTTGCTTCTGCGCTCGCCCTCTGGACCTGGGTCAGGAACAGCATTGAAGAAAATTGTCCCTCTCCCTGTGCGATGCCAGATGGGGGTCACAAAGGCACATTCCATGAATGCAGCTTGTAGCCATGGGGTCTGAAAGGAAATGTCGGTCTCTAGCAAAGTACGCTGTCGTGAGCAAGAGAACAGAACACCTCAATAAGCCCTTTCTTCTTGCGGCGGCGATGCACTGAAACGTATGGGAGAAGGACCAGAAAGCGACGAACTGGAGAGCACAATCTGTAATTATTATGTTGGCGCCAACGAAGGCAGGCATCAGCATCCGGGGTCTATGTAATGAGCTTGCGGCCCCATCCTCGTGCACTTCTGGATTGCGAAAGGTCATGGGCCGTTGCAAATTCTTCCCTACCTTGGGGCACTGAACACTTCGCCAGATCGTGAAGTGGCCTTTAGATACGCCCTCCTCCCTATGAAATAAGAAGGTACAGCTCGAAGAGAACTGACAATGAGATGTAGCCGAGGAAGTTGGACGTTCTGAAATACAGACCTTGAATGAAACTGAAGATTACATTCAAACAGATAAGTGGAATCCGGTGTACACAAATGACAGGGCTTATTCGCCTGCGGCGACGATCGGGGGCGTGTCAGGGCGGGGCGGGCCGGGCTGCAGGCTTCAGCCGTTCTGCGCCAACAGTTTTCCACCATCATAAGACAGCGCATGCGCAAAGCGTTCCCAAGCCTCCTTTAAACAACCAATAGCCGTCTCGCAGCGAGTAAGACTGCAAATGTGTACTAAAGTCGTTGTACCAGTAAAACAGCCAATCTCTTTTTTGTAATTCCTGCCAGAAAAGAAAATACATTGCAGCTCTTTGTGTCGATCTTGCCAGAGAAAGCGTACAGCTCGTGTGATAAGCAGTAGTTTCAGGAGATTATATTCCTCTACCTCCGAATCTCGTCGCTAGCGATACTAATTATGTGGGAGTGCTACAGGTACCCCATTATTGTGTCCAATATGAAGCATATAAAAGAGTTTTCGCTTTGTAAAAAGTACACGAATATAAGTGCATTTCATTAATTAACCGCGAAACGTCTCGTCGCGACTGCACGAGTCTTCTAATGAGCATGCTCTTTTTTGTGGAAAATTCTGCTGCCTGGGAACTTTTTTTTAGTACTTGCCGTGAATGACACTGGGTGGTCAGGTGCGTACATATCGTTTGACGATGTCTGGAGGAGGAGGCGCTTACTGCAGTCTGAACGTTAGAGGTCGAGGAGCAATCGAGGTGCATATCGCTTTCTTCAGAGAGATATGGGCATTTATGGAAAAAAAACAGATTTTATAGATATATCCAGCTTACGTCAAATCGTCAAGTGATTCGTATGGTGGGGCCACGACTGATAGCGCTCACTATGCACCTGTTCTAGGTAGATTTTTGAAGGCACAGTCCACACTCGTCAAATGGGCGGAGTCGGGCCTATCACTAGCCTTCCTTGTTGACGCGCTGCTACTCTTCACTACTAGAGAGCGCAGAAACGAGAAGGGCTAGTGGTAGTTCCATTTTTGCCCGTATCACATTCATTCAACTGTTGTCCTCGTGTGCCTCCAATTTTAGTTTTCTGCATCATGATGTATTTTAAGATGAAAACAACACAATTGTCGTGCATGCTGATGGACTCGTCAATGGGACGCTTACCTATGTCCAAGTTGTAGCACCTAGTGGTCTTGGATTGCAACATACTTCAGTCCTGCTTCCGCGAGACAGCCAGAAATGCTCCTATGAGTACTATGCACCTGTGCCGTTCTTCTGCAGTTACGAGGTAAGTACAGCTGTGATGTCCTGCCAGCACAGCCTGGGGAAATCAAAGTGGTGTTGTGACTCCCTTCTGCCGCCCACCGGGCCAATTTGCCGTCATTACCAGTTAATATTGCCATATAAACTATGTGCAGTCGGTACTGTATCCTCCAGTGGGATTCCGCTTAATAGCCTGCTGTATCTAGTGAAATCATCGAAAGCCCCAACCCCTGTATAGTATGCCCATGTATATAACAGCGCTATGAAGGAAAAAGGGCTAAAGCGACGTTCGGCAATTGCCGGCCATTTCCCTTGTCCCCACTCGGCGCCTCAAATCCCGAGACATGGAGTTCAAGGAGTCATTCGCATACCGCCTTGGGTTAGCTCACCATCACAATTTACGGGTACAGTTTTGGCGCCAGGCGAGCGCCATAAGATACTACAGAACAATGATAGTAACATCAGACTCGCACAGTGATTTCGGTGGACCAGTCCATTATTGTAGCATTCGATTCCATTTCCTGATGTTTTGGCCCATTCCATGACCTATTGCTTCTTCATTCCTTTCGGGAACACTTTCTGTTCCTTCTATTTTACCTGCAGCTTTTTTGCAGACTTTCTGTATCATCAATTATTCTTAATTAATTTGAATACATACGTTTTCTACCAATAGTTGGCGGTCCAAGCCAGTGGCTACTGGCTCAAAACGCAGCTGTGGGTGGGCTCATTCCAGGCCTCCTGACACACCCTATCTCTTCGCTCGCTGTGTTCTGCACTACATACACTACATTTTCCTCCCTCTTGACAGTGCTCCCCCAGTTTTATCTTTACTTCTGTTATGTCACTCTTTAGTCAGAATCTATTAGGTGATATAAAAACTTTTTTTCAGAGTGTAGGAAATTATGACCTTGTGGGAACACACTCCAGCCAAGTACTTCCTGCAGTTGAGGGAAAATTTTGACTGGACTCCCTCTCCCTCGGAACTTCTTCCTGTGGTACGACTCCCTTCTCATCCCCCATCCTACCTGTCGTCTTCCCTCGAATTCCCCAACTTTCTACAGTTTTCCTTACCTCCTTCTAAGAACTTCTTCCTCTTTTCTCTAAAAAAGCTGTCGTCGACCTGGGTGGGAGGTACACAGCGCACTCGAAACAGGAAAAGCGAGAAAACCCAACAACCGAAACATTCTTTGTCATGGGTAGTCACGACCCACCCTTCCCCCTCTCCACCTTGCTCCAGCGACCGAGTACGACTCATCGTGCTGGGAAGCCCCAAGACGACGTAAACTGAACTTTCAGCACGATGAGCAAGCGTGTCGAGAACACATCGCGTGGGACATACAACACAATTAGCATACTATCACACTGCACTAGCCAAGTAAGTAGCTTTGGCAGCTGGCAGAATTGTATCGCGAAATGTTGCCAAGAAAAACCTATAAATTTCAGGCAGTAATCATCATCGTCATGGTATCGCATTCACAAGCGAGCCACATTACCGTCGCAAATATATCACATAACTGACCCCCCCTATTCAACATCGTCCGCCTCCTTTACGTATGAACTTTATCTGCATTCTATTTGAAAACTTCAATCATCGAAGCAAAAAAAAAACTTTCAGCACCTAAGCCTTTTTGTGATCTGAAGTACTGCCTGAACAGCGAGCCTACTTTTGTGCTGGATTCTTTCTCAAAAAAGACGCCAACTCCGAAAGCACCTTCAAAAGTGTAAGTATGATAGGCATGTATCAATATATTCCCGAGTCGCACATGGCGAGCACTAGTAGCTTCCCAGTTAGTTGACCTGAGACCACGCCGAACTACCGTGTCTACTGAGTCTTGGTGCGAGTGACGCGCGCATGACCCCTCGCAACGCTGTTTTGCCACTATTTTTTCGTAGCATTTAAACTGTACGTCTTTCAGATTCGCGACTTTGCTGTAAAGACTCAGCTGCCATTCAAGTTCTCTGCTGACTATGCGCAAGTACGTTTGTTTCTGTAAGTGTACTCCAGGGCGTGATCTGGAAAAAAGGAAATTCAGGTGGCCGCCATGACCCTGGCAGATAGTGCACAAGGTGGTTTCTCATTTAATGCTGCTGAACATACATTTGACAATGTCCAAATGCTGCTGTCCAATTTGACATTCCTCGATCGACCTGGACAAAATGTTACAAGGTTAGAAACAAAAATCACGGTTTCGAGATGTTTTTTTGAGCTCCGTCTCAGTTGTACACGGATGTTTCAGCGCTATGCAGCTCACAATTAATTCCTATGGAAGCGCTAATCAAGGCTATCGCCCGTCAGCACGACACCTACTGGTATACGTTACCAACAACAAGTTCGTTTGAAATGAAATTTAGCATCTGATTATAGTCAGCTATTCCTAAAACCCCTGGAAACGTGCACGTTTAATGCTACTTCATGAACTAAGGTGACAAAACCTTTTTTCAGCCCAAATGAGTTTCCTTCAGTAATTTGAGTATAGCATGGAGGTGCTGTGAGATCTATAGTACCGCTTCTCTCGTAGAATGACATTTGGAAGATGAAACCGGAAGTAAAGGCAGTTGGCACGATAAATCCCTAAGACGAGTAGGATTAATACGCCTGGCAGGACGGAATTCCGCGCCCCTGAGCAGGCGCTGCGTAGCGCCTTTTCCAAGAGGTACCCTTATAAGGCCCTATCAAGCTGCAACATACCGACCCGGACGCCCGTCCGCCCACAAATGGACGACCGTACCTGATGCTCGTATTGCTTCATTTGCGAAGTAAAATATGAAGCGAAGGGATTGATATGAAGCGGCCGCGGTGCTGCATGGATATATGAGTACATACATGCAGCCGTATCTACCGCGCTTATTGGCAAGATGCCTACGGGAAACTCGTCCGAAATTGCTCTCTGAGTCATAAGAACGAAGGCTTTCTTTGCAGGTTTTTGACCGTTTCACCTCGTTTTTTCGCCATTTTTCCACTATATAGCACCCCGCTAGCATTTTAGACCTATTAAATATTATTGACTATCAAATCATCGTGGCATATGCCTTTGAGAAGAACGATACTCGACCGACAAATCGTCCTTCCTACCTATTAAAGGTACAGTGAGGTGAATAATGGCGCGTACAAAATAAACTATAGAAAAGCAACGAGTAGGGATGTTTTGCGCTACCTTCTGAACACCTCATCTGAAATAACGATGGAGTAGTTCAATAAGTAGGAATCATTTTATTTCAGCCCGACAGATGCTGATCCTGGCGCTTTGCTGTACTCAATTCGACGACAAGGACTGTACCAAATAGCAATTGTCACCGTAGACCTTGTGAGTTTTATTATCGCTTGAAAGTGTCGAAGTAAAAAACAGAAAATACTAAACTGTGGAGTGAATTATAATAGCCAAGTTCCTTTTCATGTAAAATAAAACCTATCCTTGACGCATCAACATAGCGCAACATATCGTTCGCATCACTACCCTGTATGAGTGTACATAAATGCCCCTCCCCACCTCTCCTTCCAAGTACAAGAGTCAAGGAGTGTTGACTTTCTCCTGTGCTGCTTGCATCTTCCCATGCAAATGCTTCCTGGGACCCTGACTGAGCCGGCAGCTGTCTAGCACAGCACCACTCGCACTTGAGCCTTAGACACACCCTCTCTAGCTCCAGGATAATGGCTATACACACTTCAAGCTGCTTAATCCCGACAATACCCTGTGGCACGTTAGTCACATCCATGCTTGGAAGACGGTGCACTCCTCATTGGTCTGCTTCGCAGAAAAGGCGCACCAATGAGCGGGAAGTGAATCCTTCCAAATGATCAACGTTAAACGTGCCAGCTACCCGATGACGCCATGAAGGGGCAAGGCTGATTGATAAGTATCTGCGTAACACTCGTCAGATAACAAGGTACATTCCGTGAATGTGCAGGCAACTTCGAAAAATGAACTTTCACGTTCACATTCATTTGTGATCTGTTTGTGAAAGCCTGTTTTAGCGGCAGGGAAATGATGGCTGTACGTAGCAATCAAAGAACTTCCTGCGAGCAAGTAGTACGAGTAGTCGGCGTTCGATCATGAACCACCAGCCGATAAGTGATTTTCTACAGAGGAAGAAGCAACAAAAAAATACATTGAGAACACCACAAGAAGTCCCTCCATGTTAGCTCCACAGGCTCTGGACTTGCTGGCGACATGACACCTTGCGGCCTCTATACAAACCCTAGCTCATGAATCGTTTCTCCGGTAATAAGTGCCATACTTCCTCCAGTACTAAATGCCATCTAAAACCAAAGAAAAGAACGAAAACACCAGTAATGAAACACGAAATTAGCTCTCAAGAAGTCCCTCAATGAAATTAGGACTAAGTAGCAATAGAGAACGAGCCTCTGCACCAAATCAGTTCACCGCTGCTGAATTTGAGCTGCGCCCGAACCCATCTTGCCTTGAGAAGGGAATGACACTAATATATTTTTTCAAAAACGTATCCTGGTGAAGCAGAACAGCTCGTGAGCTCGCAGAACAGTCGACAAGCTATTAGGTTGTCCGGAAAGTTCTCAGCGTTTCGAGTGTTTCACTTTAAACGATCATAACTTTCTTAATACTCATCGGATTCAATCGAAATAAGCACCATTCGAATCAGCACACTTTTGCCAATGTGACACCAGTCGATAAATCCCATCAAAAAAACTGGGTGGTCGAGAATCACGAAATCCACGAAGGCTTTTTTGCCTGGTCCTGATTGATGAAGTATTTTCCAGCAAGGAAGTTCTGAAAATGTTTGAAAAGGTGATAGTCGGTGAAAGGTCTGGAGAATATGGCGGGTGAGGTAGAACTTCAACCCCCAATTCGTTCAATTTATGGATAGTGATTTGTGAAACGTGTGGGCGGGCGTTGTCATGCAAAAGAATCGGACCCTTTCTTTTTTTGATAAGTGTTGGCTGCAGCTGACAAAATTTTCGGTACATTTCGTCGATTCCTTCACAGTAGGGTTCTGCTGTGATGGTTTGGCCTGGTGATAAAAAGTTATAGTGGATCACACCAGCCGATGACCACCAAGCCGTGACCAGAATCTTTTTTTCGTGAGGGTTCGGCTTTGAAAATTACCTCGGTGGTTCGTCGAAATCCAACCACTGTCCGGAACGCCTGTTATCATACATGACCTTTTTCATGTGACAATTCGATCCAAAAACGAGTCGTTTCTGTTACGCAAAAGCATGAAGAAGGAACCTCGAGACATGCCAATTTCTGCCGGTCACTCAAATTGTGGGGCACCCACTTGTCGAGTTTTTTCACCTTCCCAATGCGTTTCAGACCATCCGCAACAGTGGATTTGCCAACGCCTAGCTTTTCTGCAATCTCTCGAACTGTTTGGGATGGGTCAGCCTCCACAAACGCCTTCAAATCCTCGTCAGGTATTGCTTTAGGTCGACCGCTACGAGGTTCATCTTCAAGGCTGAAATCTCCAGAACGAAATTTGTTGAACCATTGCCGCACAGTGCTTTCTCTAGCACTATTGGGCCCCCACACCTGGTTAATTTGTTGAGCTGTCTCGACTGCGGATTGACCCAATTTGTAGTTGGAAAAATATCGTCCGAAGTTGCTCTTTTGACATGCTTCAAAAAGTCTTGGGAAAAGGGGGTTTATCAAGCAATGGTGAAACGGCAATTATACCATCAGATAGCGCAAAGAAATTCTCTTCAGGATGTACTACTGAGACGCAAGGGAGAATGAGTTTTTAATCAGCAATGAATGTACAAAAAATAGTAACACAAAACGCTGAGAACTTTCCGGACAACCTAATACATTCCTATCGACGAGCATGGGAAATCCCCTTTCGACGCCCCAGACAACAATGCATGCATGTAATTCCGCGTGGGAGTCACTGTCTTGCAACGTGAAAATATAGAGGTTGCAATGGTCACCCATCTGTACCTTTATCATCTATCAGTTCCGAGAGACGAACCCTGCGAGTGCGGACCCGGGTGCCAAATGCACGGAGGCATTTCACCGGTCACTTGACCTCGGGAGCTGTCCTCTCAAAGCAAACAATAACAACTTTACTCTGTCAGGCTCCTGACGGCATCCCAGAACGATGTCAATTTTTTAGACCCCAAGTGATAAACTCCTGTCACTGGTGGACGAGAAATGCATGTATCAAGCGGCAAATGTGGACGCTCTAATGCAAGTATGGAGTGGACTTCGTTCAAGCGCTTGCATGCACGTAAGCGACCTTACTCAATAATATTTATTAGAATTCTCGCTACTATATTGTGCGTACAACACTTATTTGCTGATTTTTCAGAGACAGGCCTCTATGCGGTGTCTAAGAACCGAAAACATGCTCCACTTCACTTACCTTCATATTTTGAGTTAAAAATAATTCGATGTCGATAAATTAATATCATTTCACGTCTTTTCTGAGAATCATACTTGAAATTTGTAGAGAAATCGTGGAAATCTACGGTGTAACACTATCCAATACATAAAAAGGCTACCTGGGGATGCCTTGTGAAGAAAGTCGTATCGTTTTGTGGGAGAAGGACTTCTTGGAAATGTGCTCTCCAACTTTTATTGTGGTGTTGCTTGAGCCGGACGGGAATCGGTCAACAATTTCATCGGGGATGATACGATGGTGAGATAGTTTATAGAGTCCATCACACCATATGATTGGGTACCCGCCGTGAACAGTGAAGTAAGGGCTGTAACCTGTTGTAGCACTAGTACTGCAGTTGCATGTGAGAACAACAGACCGGATAAGCTGGCTGGCCATCGGCGTCTGACTTCGCACACTAAGCTGTTAAGAAGTCACACCAGTCTTTCGGCTTGTCCATTAGCCTTGTGGTTACAAACAGTGGTGAATTCATTCACTCGGGGTGCTTTGTTTATTTCAGAATGTACTTCGCTGATAACATTCCAGTCACGATCCAAAACAATTTCCTTAGGAACACAATTAATCAGGGCTTTTACCATTGTATCAGTAGTTTTATCTTCTGTCGACTACATATTACAGAATTACTGAAGGCAAACGGCAACTTACTTTGACACTTTGACGGTCCTTTAGCTGGTGCACTTTTCAGTGGGTACCACAGCTCTTCACAAGGAAATTCTGGCGAATTTCATCCGATGGTTCTTTGGAATACTTTGGAAGAGTCTAACGTATTGGTGGTCATAACGTATTGGTTTTGTCTTTCTCGGGAGCCATTCTGTGACGCGGAGACTCCATCTGTCATCGTTGCGGCGGAGCAAGTGACCAGCCCAGCGGTGTTTGCACTGCGCCATATACTGCAGCGGATCTTTCAATCTCGACCGCTCCCTTAGTTCTGTACTCCATAGACCCTGTTGCTGTGGCTGTTACTGGCGGTGGCCGATCCTCCAAGGACTCTTCCTGTGCACGATTGGTTTGCATGGCCTTGGTGATTTTCTTGTGTTCAGTCCCGGTTTTGGTTCCATAGCACATAGTTGGCAGTACCGTGGCGTTGAATATTGGGTTGACGATATCATCGGCAAAGTGAGATTGCCTACTCTTTTCCTATCAATCAAGTATCTTTTGTCATGCCAGTTGAGGTGTGACATCGCATACTGTAATGCATCCGTGAATAACTTTGGGATATCGTGTTTCCGTACTCAGTCCTCGGTGGATGTCCCCAAGGACTGAGTACGGAAACCCAATCAGCAACCAACATTTGGGTTGTTGTTGAAGTGTTCGAACAACTGTTCGAGTAGACGAATGTAAGCGGGAACTCGATTTGCATCAGAACGTTGAGGACAGCATTAGATCTGCAGAGCCAAACCGTATTCACTGTACTCGAGTACGAGAGCTAAAAAAGAGGTTTTCGCGGCTTCTTTTCCGGGCTGAGTAATCGCCTGTATGTTTTCCATGCAAGAAGAACCGTTGCGGAAGCCGGAATACTTCAATGATTGGTAGTCGTCTAAAATGTGTTCCTTGAGATGTGTTTTTGAATCCCTTCAAGCGACCGATGAACCCAGTAATCTCTTCTACAAGCACATGGTGTTTTTTTTTTTTCGTTTCGCTTCGGTCGCCTTCTCAATTTCACCCGCCCACTCCTGAGCAGCTCGTGTATCAGCCGAGTTATGGAGACATCTTCTGAGGTGGCCGCTGAATGGCCCGCCACAGTCGCTTGCTCTTGGAAGAAAAGCCAAATGATAGCTTAACCTGTAGGGCACCCAGAATCAGGGATCCTGTAAAGAACCTACCGCTAGGTAGCGCATGATTTGCTGAATGAAATCGCCCTCTATTCCGGACATCACTTTGAGTCACTAGATCCGTAAAAGAGGAATGAAAACAATACTGGTTGCTTCTACAAGCAAACGTTATGGGACTAATATCC